TTTTAATAATTAAAGGAGAGCTTATTATAATTTTAATTATAATAAATCATGTAATTACTATGATTATGTAAGGGGGGTGGGTATATCATTAAATTATTTTTCTGGCATCCCCATCCTTTATTCTCTAGCAGAGTTGGTACTAGTTACATTGGTGTTGTTAAACGCCTCGATTTTCAAAAACAAATGAACCTAATTTTTCCCGGATTACGCAAGCCTGGAGATTTTGCTCATAAATGGCAGAAAGGTTTTGACATCTAAATCTCAAGGCTAGCGTTATTTTGTTTTGGCTAAAATCTTAATCTAAAATTTGCTAAATCGAGCCGTTTAACAACACTAATTGTGATAGTGACTTTCTTGTATATCCTAAAACCAAATTAAATTAAATATAAATTTGTAAGTTTATGCCATTCAATAAGGAAAAAGAAATAGTAGCCCTCTTTAGCATTTTGTAAGCATTCATTTTTTTTAATAGACATTGATTATCAAAAATAGTAAGTATCTAAAAGAAGAATAAATTAGGAAAACTTTAGACCTTTTTTCAAAAATAAATTTATATATGAAATTAACAATTAGTTAGATTCTTTCTTAATATGATGTTAATTTATTTACGATTAGTGTTGTTAAACAGCTAGATTTGGTTCTATTTTTAAAAATGGCCTCAATTAAGATTTTAGCCAAGATAATATTAGCTAGCCTTGGAAATAAAGGGCATAAAGTTTGGGCCTCTGTTTGCCAAATCTCGAGGTTTCCATAATATTATTTTTGGCTAAAATCTTAATCGAGCCCTTTTTAAAAATCGACCATGTTTCTATATAAAAAAATCTGAAAAATATTAGGCATTGTTTACTCGTTTTGAGAATAAGAATACCAATTTGTATTAAATTCGATTTTTTGGAGACCTAATTAGATGTATTGATAAAATACCCTTACGATGAGTATAATCGAAGTAATGGTTAATTTGTCACAAGAGAATGATAATAAAATATTGCTTTATTTGAGACCACCTGTTCAGTGTACCGGTTAATAAAATCGAAAGGTGGAGAATTTTCTAAAAAAAACCAGGTTATCCAGTGGAAAGAATAGTTCAAAAATATAGACAAACCTTATTTGGGATTTCACCTGCATTTCCCAGTTCTTCGCCAACCAAAACATTGACCTTATTAGGGCTACAAATAAACAAATCGAATCATACTATTATTGGTATTCCGTATTACGAATTGAATGGAATATCTAAAAACAAATAATTAGTTTTAGGTCTAGACACAATTATAATAGCCGAAAGGACAAAAAATAGAAGTACCATGATCTTTTCAGATTTTTAATTCATCTCAATAGTTATTATGACCAATGGGTCCTTAGGTCCCCTAAGCCAAAAAAATTATCGATTCAATTAGGATCAATGGATCCACTTCTAAAATTTTAAATCAACCCGAATAGCTGAGTTTCGAGGTAACAATCTGGTTTTTTCTGATCTCAATAGCTTTTTCTTTTTTTTAAAAAAAATTCATTGTTTTTCCTAGTCTTAAAATATGTTTTTTTTTAAAATTTAATATTGTTTTTTTTATTTATATTATGTTTTAAATAGTTTACATGTGTTTTTTATATTTTATTTAAATCAGTTTAGCCAAACCCAATAATCTTTGATTATATCAAAGTTTCAAATTATTATTTAAAAAAACAATAAAAAACGCTATAAAAAACCAAAAAACAAAATTTTAAATAACAAAGTAAAAATTTTTTTTTCTTTCCAATTTTTAAAATTAAGAAAAAATAAATAAAATCGAATCAAAAAAAAACAAAAGTTAGAAGTTACTTTTAAAACCAAAATCAAAAATAAAGTTTAAAATATTTAGTTTTTTTTATTACCGGATCTCAGTTATAGAATTGATCCTTTGAATTAGCGAAACCTTAATTATTTTATAAACTAGGAGAAATTATAATCGAACAACTGACATAAATGTGCTGGACAAAAAGATTCGGACAAAAGTACCCAGTACAGAAAATCACTGGAAAACATAGCCAAGGACAACAAGACATAGATCAATAATACCATTTCCTCTTTTTAAGCACTTATTTTCCTAAATTTAAGGTACTATTGTTCAGTGAATTTTTGTACGTGGGTATTTTTGTCCGGTATAATTTTGTCCAAATTACTTTTCTAGGTATTTTTATCCATAACATTTATGTCAGTAATCATAATAATAATAATAATATACATATTTTTTTTAAACTATTCTTGAAATCGAAATAATGACAATTCTAAATAAAAAAAATTTAAAAATGATTATTTAAATATTGACCAAATATATATTTTTTTAAAGATAAAAATAAGTCTCTTCGTTAATTTTAATGAATATAAACATTCTCGAAAATCTCTAGTCTAGTTTTATCTCAAGAAAGGTAGAGATAAAAAAACAAATTAAACCAAAATAATGATAAAGTATAATAAAAAAACCAATATAATAAAGCTATTATTATAATTATTAGTATACACAGTAAATTAATAATATTATAATGAATACTAATAACGTTATCTAGTTATCTTTTCTCTTATTAGATACATAATATATGCCGAAACGAGTTTAGGAATCTAACAATTCTTAATGATTTATTTAGTTGGATTTTTAAATTTGAATATTTCATTTTGCTGGAAACGTATTCCGGCATGTGTTAACACCATATAAATTTCGAACAATTTCGTTCCATGAACTTCTATGTAATTTTTTTAAAATTAATATAAAAAAATCGATGTATAAGTTAATTTAAAGTTCACAGTAAAATTGTCAGACGTTTATAGTGGGATCACTCTCTACTAGTTGGAATACATTTGCTAATCAATTTTTCGAATGTAAGAATCTACCTCAGGATTCTGAAATCCAAAGGGGAAGAGCAATGGGGGCGTATGACCATACCTCCCGTCTGTAAATAAATCAAACCCTGTTATAATGCGCAATAGGGTATTTAAAGAGATAATTTAAGGTATACCAAACGTCATGGTGTTTTTTTTGTTCTACCTAAGAATCACAAATAATTCTAGATACTCTACTGGTTCAAATATATTATCTCAATGACATTTTGATTGAATAGAAGCAGTAAGGTATAATCGATTTATGACTTAGCAAATATAAAAACACATTTTTCATTAAAAATCAATTAATGTTATTTTTTTAAACCTCATCGCATTTGCCATGACAATTCAAAAAAGTTAAGTTATTACACTTTTTTTACTTGTTAATTATCCACAATGTTTTAAAAGAAAATATTTTATTTTTTTATATAGATATCTGGTATGGGATAATAAGCATTAATATTTGCTTTAATATTATATTAAATCAGCTTTAATATAATTTAATATAGAATTACATTTATATTTATGATAATGTTAAAGTCTTATTAGTTCTATATGATGTTATTAATATAAAACGTTTTTGTAAATTATACTTAAATTTATTATTTATATTCGGGACACATTTTATACTATACGACATTATAACATAAAGGCGTTACAGAACACGTGGCACTAGTGTCGTTAAATGACCCGATTTAGCCGATTTTAAAATAAGATTTTGTCCAAAATAATATTATGCAAGCCTCGAGATTTCATTAATAAATGTCCAAACCTTTCTTCTCTATCAATGGAAAAATCTCCAGGCTTGGGTAATATATTATTTTTCAAAAAAAAATTGAACCATTTAAGAACATACACTACGTGGCAATTTAGAATACTTCGTTTCATTTGAATTATATAAAAATTTAGGAAAATAGAATTTATTTACCTAAAACTTCCCCTTTTCGATTTTTCAAGATTATAAATGGATACATAATTTTTTTTTTGTATCAAATGAAAGCTCAAAATCTTCTCTATCACATAACATATATTAATTTGTATCGTGAAAGAATATGATAATACCATTATAATATCAGCTTTTATAATAAGTGAATTAAGACTTAGAAACATTTATGTCCGAAATTTTCTTTCCAAAATTCAACATGGTGCCATAATATATTGGAAGAATGAAAAAAAACCATCATGACGTTGTAAATACTGCTTATTTTGCGAAGGTTATTAATTCATAACATAATTTATGATTGCTATCATTAAATTTTATATATTTGTATGTGAAATAATAAGTTTTTTTTTTAGTAAAATCATTATTCTTGGGTATTAAAAATAAAAGAATTCCTTAACTTGTTCATCAGGACCTTGGCTTTTGTTTCAATATACCCTGATTTGTTTCTCGTAAGCCCGACTTTGTAGTAGCAAAAATATTTAAAACATTATATTAGAAGGGAGAGGGTTCTTTGAGATATTAATAAAATTCTATTTATTTTAGTCAAATTCTTCTAAAATATATTGACATTTTCATAAAATATGTTTCGATGTGGCCCCGGGGCTTTCTTACTAATAACTAGTATATGTTAAATGGCTCGATTTTTATATTGCGCAAACCTAAAGATTCCGTTAATAGATGTCAAAACCTTTCTAACTTCTATGAGTAAAATCTTCTGGATTGTGTATTATTTTTAACCAAAATATTGGGTTTTAGCCACAATTTAGCAACACCGATATTAACTAAGTATAAAAATATTGATTCGTTTTTATTATTATAAGAATATGGCTTATTTAAAAAAAATAGCATGATATTTAATTTATACTTTTATCCCAATTAAATTTGACTTAAATTAAGTTACGTTTTGATTTGGTATTCTTAAGCTAAAACAGTCGTAAAAAAAAGAAATGTATTATATAATTTTAAGTATATATTTATATATAATTAATACAGTATTATAAAACGCCGAATAATTATATATCCCAAATATCTTCCCATTTTTTTGTTTATCTTTTCTTAACCTTCATAGCGGAAAATTATATTTAAAAATAATTTTTAACCTAATAATATTATACAGTTGGAGGAAAGGAAAAAAATAGAGAATCAAAATAAATATATATATATTTTAAAAAATTCACAGATAAAAAAAAATAATATATTTTCTTTTACCTTGATATATATTAACTAAGAGTGTGGATGGAACGCAAAGAATAATTACTAACAAATCTGCGAAGGCCAAATTGGCGATGAATAAGTTAGTCGGATTTCTCATTCTGGGGTTCAGCATAACAACGGCAATGACCAGAGTATTGCCAATGAGTCCAATTACGAATATCAGCCCGTAGGCCAGGCAATAAATTATGGTTATTAGGAGGGGATGCTTGATAGAATTGGTTAGATCTTGTTCTTTCCCCATGGCTTCCCTAAAACTGTCATTCAATGAGTACCACGGGAAATAGGAACTGTTGATGCTCATATTAATTATCAATAGATATGACAATTATTGTTCCTCCCACAAAGAGCGAGAGCTTACAAGAATTTTTTATCGCCAAAGTTATTTTTAAATGGCACTCAGGATCATCATAATATATAATTCCTTCTTCTTTTTTTTATAAAGATATAATGCTTGTGTAATAGAAATATCTGTTCAAAAAAACTAAATATAATATATTACACAAAACATGGATAGAATTATTTTAATTTTATTTAATTTTTTTTAAAATTAATTACTATAGTTTATATAATATATATAAATCCTCGATGACGGAGGAGATTATATATTTTTTTCCTTCAAATATTTAAAATTATTCATAAACTCATCTAATTATTTAATTTAAGAATTTTTACTCTTACAAAAAAAAATGGAAAAGAAAAAGGATTATATAAATAACGCAGAAAAATAAAGTTTAAAAATTATAAAATTATGTTTATATACTTTTTGAAGAAATTTTTTTTTTTTTGTATTTGACTTTAAAAAAAAAAATAAATAATTATTTAAAGAATTTTTTTTATGATGGTATAATATTATTTAGTATACCGCAAATCGATAGTGATGGATCATATAAATTATATTATATTTAAAATTAAAAAATATTTGTCTTATATAGAGCCTAATCTATTAAGCTACTTATTTGAGAGCCATTTTTAGATTTGAAAAAAAGAAATCTGATTTTACCGTGAATTCGAGTTAATAGTACGTGCCATGGTTAAATTCAAGAAGTTTTGCCAAAATTTTTTTAAAACTAATTTCTTAATTTATTTCATATTGTAAAATTTTCCACATAAATTTAAAATAATATGATCTATCTATATAATCTATCGTCTGAAATTGATTTAGACTCTATAATATGCCGAAATTCATTTATGATAAATAAGCTTTTTTTAAAAAATTATCGATGATCCTCAAAATGTAAAATTGAGGTATTCTGTACCACCCCAAGATGATTCCAGATTAACTTAACAAATATAGTGTATTTAATTTAATTCTAACTTGATTACGTGTTATGAAACAAAAAATTATCAATTTCCCATTAAATTTTTCACGAATAATTTCTCTTTTGAAAATAAATTTCTTTGTTAACCGCTTTCATTTATTTTAGAATTAAATTTTAGTTGGTTTTATTTTTTAAAAAACATTTTGGTGATAAATATTTTAGAATATGCATATTTTATATATTTTTTTGAATTATTATGTAATTTATTTTTATAATAAAAGATGAATTTTAATCATTATTTACGATTCCCTTGTTAAATGTTAACTAAAAACAAAGATTCGTTATGTGTGTTAATTTCAAATAATTTTAAACCTGGCGGATTAAATTATTTTATAATTTTTATTACTTGTTTGTAATTTAATTATAAAATTTGAATTTTTTTTATATTTCTACTCCATAGGAAGAATTCCGAATATTTGTATCTAAATTGCAAGATTCTTTTGTATATTGTTTTTAAAAAAAAAATTTAATACTATAATTGTATCTGTATTAAGATCCTTTTTTTCATAGAATCATGTATCTGTTTATTATATATAATATTGTTTAAAAAATTAAATATTTTTTTTATACAGATTCTTGCTTTAATTTCGTTTATTTTCTTTCTTTCTTATCTATATTTATTAATTTAATATAAATACTTATTATTTTTATATTTTAACTAAGAAATATTAGCCTCCAGGGTCTAATGCAAATTATAGGGTAATGTGTAAATATTCAAATATTTATTATGACCTGATTAAAAATTTTCACTTCTACAAATTCCCCATAATTTGAAATATTTTATCAATTATCAAAGTAAATGATCATCATTCTTATTATTTTATCATTGTTATTAAATTAATCATCTTTTTTATTTTATAAAGGGAGAATGTGTGTGATGTATGCTTGTAAACCGAAGGTCCCAGGTTCAATCCTGGTAAGGAACTAAAAATTTACGGGTTTTTTTATGATGGATTGCTTTAGACATATGATATGATAAATTTCTGAACCGAGAAATGCCACTCCGGTCACCGACATGAACAACCGGGTGCTAGGATTAATGTCCAATAAACCAAAAAAGACGGCCAGCTGAATTCGTGGGTCAGATGATAACAATTTCTTGACCAGCACTAGGATGATGGGATGATGGTCCTCGGGGGCCTCTCAAGCTTAATGTCTATCAATACAATGGACTTGATAACGATAAATCGGGATTAATACTACAAGGGGAGATCAGGATTGGGATATCTGTCGATTTGATAATTCGGTGTAAGGAATACTCCGGTGGGATATCTGGTCGATATTGATTTGATACACCGGTGAGAGATCAAAATACTTTGGCCTCGATAGCGATACACCGGTGATCGATACAAATGAAATCGATCAGAAATATAAATATAAATTAGATAAAAATAGATAGCATGCGTAATAATAAAGTGGAGATATATAGTGAAGGCGCTTACCACCAGAAAAGGTGAAAGCTAAAAGGAAAAAAAATAAATTAAAAATCTATTTATTTGGCATTTCATTGTCCAACATGTTTAGATTGCCCTTTGGATCAATTACCAGATCCTGCTTAGGGGAAAAGAGGACACATTTATTTTTTATGTTTATTAAATAATGCATTAAATGAATTTAAAACAAATTTAATTGATTTTTAAGCAGCATTTGTATATAAATAACATTAAGTAAATAATAATTCATGAATCTTGCAAATGATAATTTTTTTATTTCATATTTTTCACTTGCAGATATTTTTCTTAATATATTTGGTCTTCTCTCAAAATTAAACAAGCCCATTTAAAATGGTATTATGTGCATATAATTGCATTTATAGACTTAAATTTTACTCTTCCTCTCATTTGTCCATTAATTGATTAAAGAAAAGATTCTTTCAACGTTAGCATTATAAGCTGGTATAAGAATAATGAAGCTGGCTATAATTAGCAGTTCAAATGTTCAAGTAAGGAAGTTTTAAATATTCCCCCTCATTTTATTTGTAATAAACAACTTTTGCAAAATTGGTCAAGCAACTTTGACTCATTTAAAGAAACTTTTTATATTTCAAAAAGTCTATACTTTTCTGAATCTAATAATTTGGCATTTTTAATTTCCATCCATTGAAAATATAAACCTTCCAATTCTTATAGAAGTTGTAGTAATGTAGAAATATAATATAATATACTATTTTATATTATGAAATATTATATTTTTCAATTAGATATCGTTATAATGATTATATATAATTAAGATTAATATAATATTGGGTGAGGTTAACTACCTAACACTCATAGCAATAATTATTGTTATAATTTCCGCTATCGATTCCATATGATTAGCAATCTTGTGAATGTATTACCTGTGCATGTATAGTTTAATATAAGCGGATTAGTTTGGTTATGACCTAGGATCAACATATTAAATCATTGTCTATATACATCTCTTTCTTTGCATTTGCTTTTATCCATTTTTATTATGTTTTAATATTACTTTTATTTTTAATGGAAAAAAATTCCATTTTTTCTTTCTGTTAACAAATAATTTAATGATTTTAAATGGTTTAACATTTAAATAACTTCTATATATGAGCAGAACAACCCACTCCAGTTATATTCTTTAATCCTAAATTTTTTAGTTAGTAGAAAACCTTATTTAAAGCTCATTGTCTTACACTAAAATTTGTATTACAATTGTCTCCAAAAAAGATTATCAATTTAGATGTTAGATTATTTTGTTCATATTGATAATAAATTATTAAAGATAGTATCTGATGTTTTATTTTTAAGCAAATGTATATCTAGAATTCTAGCATTGAGGCCGGTTTCTTTGTTAAAATACTGAATAAAAATGGGAAATTTTTTTAAATTTCCATGATTATACTTGCATCTATAGAAATGGAAATATAATTTATTTTTTGAAATATCATCTAAAGATGAATTCAAAGAATATGATTTTTATAAAAACAAAATTTCGCTAGTGATTGACCCGATAGTGTAAAAAATTTCTTTGTTTTAAAAAATATAAAAATTAGAATTCATTTTTTAAATGAAATAAAAGACACCGGACATGTTTTTTAACATCTCAAGGACATGTCCTAGAAGACTAGTAAACCTAGACCCACTAGATACAAAAATAGTAGTATTGAGGTGATTTAGATTTGATTGTAGATTTTTTAACATTTTCTTTTTTATCAATATTTTTTAAATAAAATAAGTCTGAAAAATCAAATGCAGTACCGAACGGATCCTACCGAAAGGTACCTTAAAGTTAGCCAAATTTACTCACGAAAGGGAGTTATGGTGTGTAGCCCCTCGTATAAAATATATGATAAAACGTTTTACCACAATTCAAAAATTTCTGGCCGGTAAACCTATCCCGATTAAAATTTAATATAGAGGTAAATTTCGTGTGTAATCTTTATTTTATACGAGTATAATAAGTTAGCTATTTAATATAAGGAAATTACAATTTTCCTAGTTAAATGTAAACCTTAAGCGTACGTTTCCCTCAACCTATACAAATCCCAAGGCGTAATTAAGAGTTTTTCATTAAATAGCCTTAAAGTAATGATTACGTGTTTTTTTTTCTTCCCTCTTATACATTAATTGACGTATTTTAAAACAAGTATGAACTGGAATTAAACCAAGTTACAGTAGATAAATATATATTAAATAAGAAAATATGATCAGGTTATAATACTAATTATGTTATCTTCTTTACAATATATTATATTATAAAGTTTATCTCCTCATCATCAATCAATATAGCATATCTAAAAGAAACTTTACTATATAAAATCACGTTCTATAACTTCTTCTAATCATTTTGTCCTGTTATTATTGAATAATCCATATTGATTATTTTTATAATAAATTTAGGAATTTAAAGAAAATGATTTTATTTTATAAATTGAACTCGAAGATAGATATTCAATTTCGTTAAATTACGATACTATTAAAATTTTGATGGATCTTTCTTAGTCTAATTGCGATACATTTTTATAAATCGATATCAAAAAATCGTTACTTTACTATCTTAAATTAAAGTTTAATCATTTTTTCAAATTAATAAATATATAATAGTATTATTTAATTATAAATAAATTAAAATAAATATAATAT